CACACACACACACACACACACACACACTCTCTCTCTCTCTCTCAGTTCAGCTGAACTAATTCACATCATTGAGAAAATAAACCAAAGCTCTCTCCACAGTGGTGAGTTTGTCGCCCGCTGTAGCTTATGCTCAACACCGGGTGGCGCTGATTAAAAACCTGCAAGGCTTCGTTTGCGTCCTGCTCGATCGGAGAGGAAGAAAAAAATTACTGGAGGCGATAAAATGTGTTTGGAGAGAAATTGTCTGTAGTTCTGTAGTTTCATCGTTCGGTAAAGACGAACATCAGAGGATCGGAGACACAAAGCATCCGTCAATGCTAATGTCTTTATGATGTCGTTTCATCATTTCCGGTTGGTTCAGTATCTTGCCCAAGGTGACTGGGATCGAACTGCTGACCTCCTGGACAGAGAACAACCCGCCCAGCTTCTTTACCGTCAAATAAAAAAAAAAAAACATCACGTACGAAACAGCTTTTTGCTCTTTTTCTTTTCGTGTCTCTCGTCGTCCGTGTGCTCGCGTGACATTTTGTTCGAGGTGGACGAGGTCAAATTTGTCCAAAGTGTTTTCAGTCAGAGAGAAGAGCAGCAGGTCGGAGGTCGTCTCTGAGGATCTGTCGATGTTTCCTCCTCCTCCTCATCACAGCAGCTTTAAAATCCAGCATGTTCATTTTGTTGTAAAGTCACAGAACAACTTATTTTTACTCCCTCTGATCTCATTGATCTTCTCTCTCCTCAGGATTGTTGAAATCTACAGTCGGCGGCTTCAAGGTATAAATCATTGACTAATTCATCGGTAGTTGAGTTCGGTTTTTTTCTTGTCCTCTGTTGATCAGACTGTTTCATGTTTGTGCGTCTGAACGTCCACAGTTCAGGAGAGGTTGACCAAACAGATCGCCGTGGCGATCACCGAGGCCCTGCAGCCCACCGGGGTCGGCGTCGTCATCGAGGCAACGTAGGTTACGACCTCAGAACGACACTTTTATTTTTTATCTTTTCCTCCTTTTCTCTCACTTCACCTTCTTTATTCTCTCCTTCTTGTCTTCTCATATGTCGCTTTATCTTTCACTTTGATCGGATCACTTCATTTCATTTCCTTTTCTTCAACTACCTGTTTTTTTTATCACTCTTTATTTTCATTTGATGCATTTTTTCTTTTTCTTGTCTGTTCTCTTTATTATTTCTTTTCATTTCATCAAATCATTTTCTATTAGTTTTCTGTAACTTCTCATCCTTTCCTTCACCTCTTCTTTCTCTCATTTTGATCCTTTATTCTTCACTTTCATTTCATCACTTCATCTCCCTCTTTCTTTCTTGTCGTTCATCACCTCTCCCTCTCTCCTCCTCAGTCACATGTGCATGGTGATGCGTGGCGTTCAGAAGATGAACAGTAAAACCGTCACCAGCACCATGTTGGGAGTTTTCAGAGAAGATCCAAAAACCCGAGACGAGTTTCTGACGCTGATCCGGAGCTGAGGAGGACCAAGCTCCTCCTCTTCCTCCTCCTTCTGTTGCCTGGGTTACCTCCACCTTACCGCACCAAGTGTGTGTGTGTGTGTGTGTGTGTGTGTGTGTGTGTGTGTGTGTGTGTGTGTGTGTGTGTGGTTTTGAACGGCCAGATCTGGTGAAACGTTACTCTGTCAAGTAACACACACACACACACACACACACACACACACACACACACACACACACACACACACACACACACACACACACACACACACACA